TGCGTCGCAGTTCTACATTTGTAATATTGTCAGTCCATGCAATCCTCAGCATACGCCGATAACACCATCCTTCGAATGCCTCAAGCTTCTCCATTTCGGCCTTTTTAAGTGTCCAAGCCTCTGAACCATAGAGTAGAGTTGCAAATATGTAACCCCTTAGCATTCTTAATCTAAGCTTTAAGTTAAGTCTCCACTGCAGAGACATTTTTTGAGTTTTACAAAGGATGTTCTGGTTATTTCTAGGTCTTCTTCTAGGTCTCTTAATTCGTCATTGGTACCATGGTGTAATTTTTGTGGTCCATCTGTTGTCCGTCCTTCTCCCCCGGTTTTTGCTCATTGCCAATTGAGGGATTTGATTTTGTGGATGACATCTATTACCTAGATCTTTTGTCGTATCCATTCTATACTTTTACGGTCCCTCTAATCCCTGCATATTTCGTTTCATTCGGCTTTGTGCGACCTGCAGTTTATTTATAATGTCCGTTTTAAGTGTCCAGGTTCGCATACATAGGTTATGATTGGTAGTAGACACTGGTCAAATGTTTTCTTCTTTAAGGAGTTTCTTACATTAGAACTTAATTCTTGTCTTGATTTCTGGTAGTAGAGATCCCGAGCTGTGTATTAGTTGTCCCAAATATATATATTCTTCTACTGTTTCCAGTGTTAAGTTAGGTTTCTGTCTACTAGTTTGGTGTACATTCCTTTATTTTTTGCTAAATTCATTTTGGGACGTACTTTATTGCTGGCTGTATTTCATTCGTTAATTTGTGCTTGTAGTCCTTCAGGATTATTGGCAATTAAGACTATGTCATTTGCGAATCTTAGATGGTTAAGATATTCTCCATCTATTTTTAATCCTTTGTTGGTCCAGTCCAGTTGACGGAAGATTTCTTCTAATGTTGCTGTAAACAGCTTTGGGGATATCGCGTCTCCCTGTTATACTCCTTTACCAGATGAAAACTCTGGGGTTATTTTATATATCATTATACTATCACTGAATTTTATATTCTACACCTAATTCCATAACCGATAATGAAAGTGTCCCGGGCTTGTTCATACTCGTTTTTACGTTTTTGCCAACATTGCCTTACCTTCTGTCTCTATCATGTCAAATCATGTGTTAAATATGTATCAAATAGTACCATAATTGAATTAAAACATTTTGAAATTCCGTTCATAATCCGCATTTTTTCTTATTTATAACTACTTCTAAAAATGGTTACTTTTTGATCAAAAAATGAAAAAATGAGAAATACTGGACGCTATTTTTTGATAATTGCAGTGTAGTTGTTTTTACTAAAAAAGTGTGTGTTTGAACTGTGAATGCGATTTTAATATTGAGACCCAGAGAGACTTAAAAAACTTGTTGTATTGACTTTGAAAACGATGACTCAGACTGAGTAATAAAAAACTCCACCAAAGGCTTTAAGTAGCTGAGGATTGGGTGTTAAAATAATGTAATTTGTATCCAAACAGATGTCGTGGATGAAAAAGCTTCTAAATGCTTTGAAGATTTAATTACTACTAATTTTTATGTTAAGGTACTATAAATTATACAGGGTTGTTCACCACATACGACACGGAGTATTGTAGCTAAACGATGAGATTTTTACAAATTGTAAGTTTGGGGTTCGTTAAAGGACTATTAGAGCTACAATTTAAAAATATTTTTACAAGATCCAGAGTGTCCCAAATAAATAAAAAATATCAAAGTTGTATTTTTAAAGGAACACCCTGTATATTATTACATTTTTAGTTTCTACGGTTAAAATAAAGGTAAATTTGATTAAGGTTTATTATACTTAAACCTTACCGTTTTTGAAATATTTTCAATTTTGTGAAATTGCAGTAAAAATTTTAAAGCTTCATTTCTCCAAGGGTATCAATGTTTTTAATACTAAATATTTAGTGAAGTTTATTTATTGATCAGTTATTGTGTTGCAATAATAAAAATAATACTACCTTATACAGAGTGTCTAAAAATTTATTTTAAATAATTATTAGCTTCAAACGGCAATAACTTCTTTAATTTAAATGGAATGCCCTGTATATTTTAGGAGAATCAGATGCACAATTAAATTGTCTATCAAATTGTATTATACCATTTTTTACCTATCCCTTCAAGTTTTCGTAGAAAATGCATTTTCTTATAATTTAGACCTCATTTATCAATATATCCATGGAATATTGACATTTTAGATTGTTTTTAAAGCAACAAATGTACAAAATGTACAGACTAGTAATATTATCGTTTTTAGCAAAACGATAATATTACTAGTCTGTACGATAATATTAGTATCTGTTTTTAGCAAAACGATAGTATTACTAGCCCATTTGTATGCAAAAAGAAAACTATTTAAATCTTTATAAAAGAGTATACCATTAATTAAATATAACACCATTATTTCCGCCCATATACTAATTAATTACATACTTAATTGTGTTCGTTAATAAATTATTATAAATAAATGTGGATTTGAGTCAGAAATCAATATAATAATAAGTTATCAAATCAAAGTCTCTGTTGTTATAAATAAGCATTTATTAAAAAATTAAATATCATTTTTAAGGTGTTACTTTTTATCACACTGTCTAATGCCCATACAAAATTCAGTTTTTTAGTATTTGGAGCAATTATTATTAATCAACGCAGTCAGTTAATGTAGTTTGAATACTGGAATCATATTAACTGGTCCTCTTTAACAAATATTTAAACAGTTTTTTTTTATTTTTAATGAAATAAACGAATTATATCGACAATATTAGTATCTGTACTCTTTAAAAATTTGGTACATCTTTAAAAATAATCTAAAATGTCAATAGTCCATGGGTATATTGATAAATAAGTTCTAAATTACAAGAAAATGCATTTTCTACGGAAACTTAAAGAGATAGGTAAAAAATGGTATAATATAATTTGATAGACAATTAAATTGTGCATCTGATTCTTGTAAAATATACAGGGTGTTCCATTTAAATTAAACAAGTTATTGCCGTTTGAAGCTAATAATTATTTAAAATAAATTTTTAGACACTCTGTGTAAAGTGGTATTATTTTTATTATTGCAACACAATAACTGATCAGTAAATAAACTACAGTAAATATTTAGTATTAAAAACTTTGATACCCTTGGAGAAATGAAGCCTTAAAATTTTTACTGCAATTTCACAAAATTGAAAATATTTCAAAAAAGGTAAGGTTTAAGTATAATAAATCGTAATCAAATTTACCTTTATTTTAATCGTAGAAACTAAAAACGCAATAATATACAGGGTGTTCCATTTAAAAAAATACAACTTTGATATTTTTTACTTATTTGGGACACTCTGTATCTTGTAAAATTATTTTTAAATTATACCTCTAATAGTCCTTCATCGAACCCAAAACTTACAATTTGTACTCTCATCGTTTGGCTACAATACTCCGTGTCGTATGTGGTGAACAACACTGTATATGTTCTTGGTTTTATGTTTTTTCAAGTTTCAGTAAATATCAGAAGTAAAATTCCTCGTAAAATTCAAACTTCCACAAGTTCACGAATAATTATTTGGGAACTCAATTTTGCTGTTAATTAATTGTATTCAAACACTATCTAAAATAATAATATAAGTATTAAATTTCCATATTGGATTTATATCCACCTCTCTTAATTTAGTTTCCAATAAACCACCTTCCACCTTCTTTAGCAAATGTATTAAAAAAAAATAAAACTTTCATTACCTAAGGCATTATTATATGAACCGTATTATAAAGTTATTCATAGCAGTTGATAGCAGTAATAAAGCACATAGATATATTTTCTATATAATCATACAGCATAGGTAATTGATCACTAATTTTAAAGTAGAGTAAAGTAACCAATATGGAATAGTATTCCTAATATGGAATACCGCCATTTCTCGAAAACGAATACGCCTAATCGCAAAAGACAGTGATTTTTAATCTCTTTTCATCATTATACTCACGTGCAGGCTTTACATCGTCATCCAAACTGGCTTTGTGGCCACGGTGACTGTGTTTTCTTTCAGAGCTAAAGTAAGTATTGCTTGATTCGTGATTGCAAATAATATTGTATATTATGACAATGCATTGATTGCATGTTTGTTTATTTGTTTTAGAGGTTTTTTCTTGTCTGAATGTGTTTAATAAAAAAATCTGATATTTGTTTTGATTAGTTTGAAGTGTTTGTTTTATGTGTGTTTTATATAGTCGTTATTTGGTAACTATTCCATGTTTAGGTGTTTTTATGTTCAATTTCTTCGAGAAAATGTTATACTTTAAGTTTATACAGGATCTTCCATCCAATTCTAAAAGAAAAACTTTTTCCTAAATATCCTAAATATCTTAATTTCTGAGATACAGGGTGATAAATTTTTCTATTTTTTTTTCCTAATAACTCTGATTTTATTACAGATATCTTTATGAAACTCAATACACGTCTTCTATGCATTAAAATGCATTTTTTGGTGTACAAAGAATTTTAGCTATTTCAACCAGTGCCGTGCATACGGGGTTTACATTGAATATTGTTGGAGAAAAAAGTTATACACCACTGACTTCTCTTAAAATAAAAAAAAATATTTTTCTACTCATTAATTTCTAAACATTTTTATTTTTTGTTTTGTTTTTGCGTCCGGCGCGTAGTTTTTGTTTAAAAAAATTCAAGTCAATTTATTTCATGGATAAATCGCTGAAAATATGATCTGGTGACTGTTGTTTGGAAATTATTTCTGCATCGGCTGTAAGAAAGTTAAGAAATAAAACATCTTTTTTTGGATATCAAAAGACGTGTACCAAATACACCATCACAGATATTTTGAAAAAAATAGAAAATTTAACCACCCTGTATCTGAAAACTTAATATTATATTCACCTGACGTTTTTTTCTTAAAATAAGTCCAAGAATCACATGTAACAATGTTCAAACCAAATGGTATTCCATATTTGGTTACTTTCCTCTACGTATCATAGTTTAATATTTATCTCGAGAAATACTTACAAGCTCCAGCAACGTGAACCTTCCTCATCCACGGATATATCTGCCTATCCCCATTCTCATCATCATCATCCTCGTCATCATTGTTCGTCGAACTCCCTTGACCATCGTCCAGCTCATCCTGCTCATCAGACCCACCACCGTCCTCCAGCCTCAAACCCAGCTCCTGCAACGAATGAGCACCTGGAGGCGACCCTCTAGAGTCCTGACCGTGTCCCACCGAAGCCGGAGAACACACACTCGAGTTCACATCACTCTGCTGTTGCTGCTGAGCAACATTGTTCGGCGAAATGTCCGCTATGTTTTGGAGAATGTTCGGCGAAGGTGGTTGATTCGGATGCCCGTTAGGCAAAGAGGCACAATTGAGTAGTTGATTTTGAGGCTCGTGCAAGGGTTGAACCGCGCGAACTTGATGTAAAGGAGGTGACGGATGGTGAAGTTGGTGGTGGTAGTAGTTCCCGTAACTCCCGTAACCCGAGTTTGAGAGAGATAAAGATGAGGTTCCGTAAGCTCCTTGGTGATGGTGGTTGTGATAGCCATACTGTAAATGCTGGGGTTGGTTCAGGTGGTGATTCCCGAAAAAATTATCACTAGTCGCCGGAATATAACTACTCTGACTGTACTCCTCGTGGGGGGGAAACTTGGGGTCCACGACGACCCCCGCGGATATGTGCTGCGGCTGCTGGTAGCCCGACACGGGGTTCATCAGAAACGAACTCATAGTCATTAATAATCTTTCGATACTAGAATCTTCTTCTTCTTCTCCTCCTCGATATAGAGAGGAAAAAGGCACGCACGCCGCTCCCGCTCCCCTCTCTCTTGCTTAGCGTCGAAGTCCCGCCTACCAGAGTCCAATTAACGTGCCACGTGACCGCGCCGGGTCCAATGGGAGCGCGCGACGTCACCGGGCATGATGGATGACGAGGTCCGGCCTCGTGCGGCTGTGGTGGGGGTGAATAAAGGCAGTCTGAACACACGCGGTTCTTTGGAGCCGAATTTGTTAGTGTTTTTTTTATTAATTTAGGTATTTCACTGCACTTTTTTTCCTAGGAATCTCAACCAAAACACTAGTATTGTACAAAAAAATGTCACTGTCCGTTATTTTCACGAACTATCACGATATTTATCGAGTAAAAATATAAAAATAAAAAAGAGGCACTGTAAAAAGAGTATATAATGTTGATGCTTTCTCGTTTGAAGTCGCACCAACTAACTGACGTCAGCGATTGTCGAGCGAATACAGTCGACTGGCCTCTCTTTCCACTCGAGGCAGAGTCGCGGAGGTTTTCGCTTTTACTCCTCCCATTTGGCGTCCAGTCGTTCTACCTTTTACCTCTTTCTATCTCGCTCGGTTTGGTAAATTTAGAGAGAGCCAAGGCTAGATGGCGTTCTATCGGGTTTCGTTGTTTGTCGTTCGGGTACGATTCGGGAGAGCAGAGCTGTGTGAATGTGTGTGATACGTCGTCGGGTTTGGCGTTTCTCTCTCTCTACTTCCTTCGTTCTTTTTCTTCGTTCGGATTCGGCGTTGGCTCGTTCGAGAGCAGTTTGACGTTTTGGGCTTTTTTTGGATGTTGAGACGATGGCGAAACTCTAGGAGGACTTTTTTAAATTATCGATATGAAGCTTTATGTTTTATTCTTTGATATTTTTTATCTAAATAATCTAAATACCGAATAATCGTTGAATTCCTTGAATTTATTACTTATTAATAGTCAGTTACAGAAGCATACTTCTGTTCACTAAATTTAAGAAAATTGAGTTGATTTTTCTAATATTCTGTCAATTTTAAGTATAGAGTTTGAATGATTGTGATAGTTGTCAGGGAAATGGAGCAGAAATAATGTTTTTATTTGACCTTTAGATGTTTACGTCGAACGATGCCCGTATATATTTATTCAAAAACATCTAAGTAAATATTTGATATTTCATTTAACATCATGACAGCTTCCGGTTTTTTTATTTTATTTGTGCAGTCTATGACAGCTAAAATCGTACATCTGTCATCAGTTGACATCGGTAACATGACCAAAGGTTATACACAGTTCATACCAGATAAATTTTTAGTCACGTGATTAAGTTTTTTCTTTTTTCAAACTTCTTTATTTTTTAAGATTTTGATGGTCAAACATCAACAAAATATTCCTTATGTTTGGACTAAATTTTAGATTTTATGGAAAGCACTGTTCATTAAAATGTTGTATCCTATGTTATAGGGCTTGTTTTTCTCTACAATTTCCTGTCTCACAATGTACTGTGTGTGTCCAGGAAGGGTTCATAGTTTCATAGATATCGATTTTCGAAAAAAATCGGTACATTTATTTTATTTCGTATATTTTTCATTTTAGTTATTTTATGGAAAGCACTGTTCATTAAAATGTTGTATTCTATGTTATAGGGCTTGTTTCTCTCTACAATTTCCTTTCTCACAATGTACCGTTTGTGTCCAGTGTTCATAGTTTCATAGATATCGATTTTCGAAAGAAATCAGAACATGTATATTATTTCGTATATTTTTCATTTTATTGATTTTATGGAAAGCACTGTTCATTAAAATGTTGTATCCTATGTTATAGGGCTTATTTCTCTCTACAATTTTCTGTCTCAAAATGTACCGTTTGTGTCCAGGAAGGGTTCATAGTTTCATAGATGTCGATTTTCGAAAGAAATCGGTACATTTATTTTATTTCGTATATTTTTCATTTTATTGATTTTATGGAAAGCACTGTTCATTAAAATTTTGTATCCAATGTTATAGGGCTTCTTTCTCTCTACAATTTCCTATCTCACAATGTACTGTTTGAGTCCAGGAAGGGTTCATATTTTCATAGATGTCGATTTTCGAAAGAAATCAGAACATGTATATTATTTCATATATTTTTCATTTTATTGATTTTATGGAAAGCACTGTTCATTAAAATGTTGTATCCTATGTTATAGGGCTTGTTTCTCTCTACAATTTCCTGTCTCACAATGTACCGTTTGTGTCCAGAAAGGGTTCATATTTTCATAGTTATCGATTTTCGAAAGTAAATCAGTGCATTTATTTTTTTTCGTATATTTTTCATTTTATTGATTTTATGGAAAGCACTGTTCATTAAAATGTTGTATCCTATGTTATAAGGCTTGTTTCTCTCTACAATTTCCTGTCTCACAATGTACCGTTTGTGTCCAGGAAGGGTTCATAGTTTCATAGTTGTCGATTTTCGAAAGAAATCGGTACATTTATTTTATTTCCTATATTTTTCATTTTATTGATTTTATGGAAAGCACTGTTCATTAAAATGTTGTATCCTATGTTATAGGATAGGGCTTGTTTCTCTCTACAATTTCCTGTCTCACAATGTTCCGTTTGTGTCCAGAAAGGGTTCATATTTTCATATTAGAAATATATATAAGAAATCAGTACATTAATTTAAAATTCCGTTACGATACGGAAATAGATTGATTTGTTTGATTTGACAAGTTTTGTGATTACAATGATATATAATTTATATGGTTTTGTAACAAATTGCTCGTTATTTTATGGCAAATGCTGAGACTCTGCGAACCTTAATCAAGCCTTAATTAAAGCATGTGTGTTTGGAATTTTAGGTGTGACTTAACACGATAGGGATCAGGCTAAGCCTTAGGCAGATTTCTGAAATATAATGTATATTTCTTTCGGCCACACACCCGCTTTACCCGACCCCTGAGAGCGACATGATAGACTCTTAAAACCATTCTCTGCTATAGAGTAACTGTCCAACAGCCAACAGACCAATAATAATATGATTTTTCACTAACAGTGACATTACGTTTTAACTTTTGTTCAACGCGGTAGGATTTAGTCTACTCTCCCTCCCTAATAGAGTCTTGAATCATCCCAATTGTCTGTCAACCTAACACCAAAATTTATTGTTGCTCGTAGAGCCACCGTCATGACCCACAGAACGCTTTTTGTCGTCCGTCAGCCCGTCAATCTTGGCCCGTCATTACGGAAATAAAGAAATAAATCGAATGGGCGTGCAGTTATCTCGGCCTGTCACTTGGAAACGCCGAATCAATCATCTCCCGGATGTGTCGCAGTCGGCCGCGACTCCCACTCGGTGACGTCACCGTTTTCTGGATTCGTTTGTATCCCAGTCCCTTTCTCTATGAGCGATCCCTTGCCGCCATGTCATTTGGTGCGACGGCGATGGTGAAATATCATTTTTGGATGTCGGATGCGTTGGTTTCTGTAAAATATGGATGCAAAAGAGCGTGAGAGGGATAAAAATTTCATTTTATGAAGTTTTGGAGGAGAAAATGTCAAAAATAAGTTTTAAATTCTTTCTTATATTGTGTTAGAACTAATACAAAGATAAAATTATTATTATTAAACCATAACTTTAATAGGTTGATAAATAAAACGACCACTATATGTCCAGTTTATACCAAATGAACTTTTAGTCACGTGATTAAGCTTGACCGGCACAGCGTTGCCAACTTTTACATATTTTCTTTTAATCAAAATATTTTAGGAAAAACAAAAAGAATTTAATTATCTATACTAATATATAAAATCTTTAAGTGACTGACGTACTGATTAATCACGATCCTATTCAAACCACTCAATGTAAGAAGCTCAATTTTGGCATACAGGTTGAGGTTGTAGAGGTTCGATAAGAAGGGATTTTTTGAAATTCCCCAAAAGCACGTATATTTTATTTTGTTTTTTTGCTTATTTTAAGATTTTTTAAAAATGTATACAGGGTGTTTCGAAAAATCTGGTCATAGATTAATCACGATCCTGCTTAAAGCGCTTGACGTAAAAAGCTGATTTTTGGAAAACAGATTGACTTTACGGTGTAGAGGTTCGATAAGAAGGGATTTTTCGAAACTCGAATTCTAAGGGGGTGAAACTATCCCTCAAATATTAAAATACTTTTTATTTGAAAACGGGTGAGTTTTTCGGAAAAACTCTTAAAACAAACGTATATTTTATTTTATTGTTTTACATATTTTAAGATTTTTTATAAATTTACCCAGGCTGTTTCATAAAATATGACAATTGAGTAATCACGATTCTGCTTAAAGTGCTTGACGTTTAAAGCTGATTTTTGGCAAACGGATTGACTGTGGGGTGTAAAGGTTTGATAAGGAGGGGTTTCTCGAATCTCCATTTCCAAGGGGGTAAAAACGCCCCTCAAATATTACAATTTGTTATTTAAAAAACGGTTAGTCTTTCGGGAAAACGCTTGGACGAGCATAATTTATTTGTTTTTTACATATTTTGAAATTTTTTTAAAAATCATACAGGGTGTTCCAAAAAGTTGGATAATTTCTTAACCACGATTCTGCTTAAACTGCTTGACGTAAAAAGCTTATTTTTGGCAAACGGATTTTTCGAAAGTCAAATTCCAACGAGATGAAACTACCCTTATATTGTTTTTTCTCATGCTCTAAACGTGAGAAAATTTTATCCAGTTTGTATGTTAATGGAAATTCTTGCTTTGCTTCATCATCACCATTACAAATGATTAATTCGACGCGAACGAAGTCGCTGGTACACGCTAGTACTAAATATTTACTGAAGTTTATTTATTGATCAGATATTATGTTATAATAATAATTAAAATACTATCTTAGACAGAGTGTCTAAAAATTTATATTAAATAATTACTAGCTTTAAACGGCAATAACTTGTTTAATTTAAATAGAACACCCTGTATATTTAACGAGAATCAGATGCACAATTTAATTGTCTATCAAAATGTATTATACCATTTTTTACCTATCTCTTCAAGTTTTCGTAGAAAATGCATTTTTTATAATTTAGACTTTATTTATCACTATACCCATGGAATATTGACATTTTAGATTATTTTTAAAGATGTAAGAAATTTTGAAGAAGTACAGATACTAATATTGTCGATATATTTCGCTTATTTCATTAAAAGAGAAAATAAAACTGTTTAAATATTTGTTGTTAAAGAGGACCAATTAATATGATCCCATTATTCAAACTACAGTAATTGACTGTTTACGTTGATTAATAATAATTGCTCCAAATACTAAAAAATTTAATTTTGTGTGTGTATTAGACAGTGTGGTAAAAAGTAACATCTTATAAATTTTATTTAATTTCTTGACGATATATTATATCATTTTTTATCTATGTCTTCAGGTTTTCGTAGAAAATGCATTTTCTTATAATTTAGACCTCAATTATCAATATAC